CTATTTATTTACATTGCATCATTGTACTGTGCTAACATTATCCTTTTTATTAGATTGGTCAACCATTGGACTGAGGAAGTCAAACTGAGGAACCATCCAAGAAGCATCAAACAATTAATCATGTGAAAATGAAGGATTAAAAAAATGAAAAACAGCGAAAGAACCCAATATTTGACTACCAAGTGGCTAAAACAATTTCCCATTTTCTAGATTCATCACCCCAACACACCCTTTCATCTTTTATGAATCTGCCCGCATTGTCTGTCACGGTGCATTCCTTTCATTTGCCATGCCCAACTCTCCGACTATTAAGTCATACGACATTGATCGCATTTCTGTTCCACGCCCAAAACTAATTATATTGAGTGCTTTGTGAGGAAGAAAAGGGGGAAAAAGGAAGGAAAAAAGACACGTTTTTTCCCCACCAATGGCTCCCACGGCCACCTTCGTCGCCAAATCCCCCAACTTTCCCCTTCCGATTCCCAATGCCTCGAGGCCGCAGCTCCCCGCCAGCCTCCGCCTCGCGCTTCCCCGCCACCTCTCCTTCGCCGTCGCCGGACGCCGGAGCTCTGTAGCCCGCCGTGCCGTCGCCGCCTCCTGCAGCCTGATCGAGCCCGACGGCGGGAGGCTGGTGGACGTCGTCGCGCCAGAGGGCCCGGCGAGGGAGGCGCTGCGCCGGGAGGCGGCAGGGTGCCCGCAGATCAGGCTTTCGAGGATCGATCTCGAGTGGGTGCACGTGCTGAGCGAAGGGTGGGCGAGCCCTCTTGGCGGGTTCATGAGGGAAGCAGAGTTCCTCCAAACGCTTCATTTCAACTGTCTCCGCCTCGGAGACGGGTCCGTCGTCAACATGTCGCTCCCGATCGTGCTCGCGATCGACGACGCCCAGAAACGGGCCATCGGCGACCGTCGCAAGGTCGCGCTTGTTGACGCCCGGGACAAGCCGGTCGCCATCTTGAGCGAGTAAGTATACCCTTCTTCTCAGTTTATGTGATTGCCTGACCTGTATTGATGAAACTTCTTCTCTTGTGACGATGGCTTGATTATTCATTTGGAATCAGTAGTTTATGTTCGGTGTCTGAATCTAAAGAATCACTCTCACATCGTTTTCAGTGATTTATTATAATTTTTTGTAATATCTTAGCAGGTAAATGTGTGATATATTGTTTGGTAATTATTTGTGATCGACGCTAATAACTAAATTTTGTTGTTTTATTAGTTCAAGTGGTAGAGTCATATATTAATTCGATGGATAGTTCAAACTTGTCTGTACATTTTTATGGTGATACTGCTATTCTGTACTTTGTCATTTACCCAAAATCCATGGATGATGGGAAGGCAGTGGATTAATTGATATTAATTTGGCTTAGGTGGTTTCTTTGATGCCAAAAGTGTCCATGATTTGGACTGCTGGTCTTTGTTATAGTGATATGTTGACCAGAAACCTGCCCCGTTGATAGTGATCTTTGAATGAATAGAATGCATACTTGTTGGGAAACGCAATTGCATCATTAATGCTGATTTCTGAATTCTTGTTACAAGTTAATAGATAGAATTGCTTTTGACAATGCAAACATATCATGTCATTTACGATATTGCTTTGCTAGTTTTACTATTAGGCTCCACTTGTTTACTAGTGCTGTTCCTTCCTGACTAGGCTGTAATGCCAAGAGATTATGCTCTGACACTGTTGTTTTTAGCAATATGTTGAGCTTTCTAAATATTGTAGATTTCATCTCATTTCAAAATTCTTATTTATTGTTTCTTGATTTAGCATTGAGATCTATAAGCATAACAAAGAAGAACGAATCGCAAGAACTTGGGGAACAACAGCTCCTGGGCTGCCATATGTCGAGGAAGCAATAACAAAAGCTGGTAATTGGCTAATTGGTGGAGACTTGGAGGTTATAGAACGAATCAAGTATAATGATGGTCTCGATCAGTATCGTCTATCGCCTGCTGAACTCCGTGAAGAATTTTCCAGGCGCGATGCAGATGCTGTATTTGCTTTCCAGCTGCGTAATCCTGTACACAATGGTCATGCCTTGCTCATGACAGACACTCGCAGACGTCTTCTAGAAATGGGCTACAGAAACCCAGTTCTTTTGCTTCATCCCTTGGGAGGCTATACAAAAGCAGATGATGTACCACTTCATTGGAGAATGAAGCAACATGAGAAGGTTAGTACCAATACAATTATCAAATAATTTTTATGATAATTTCAAGATAACTAACAATTTTTTACATCCATTTCCATGTAGAATCTATACTTAAATACCTCTACACCATAGAAGTCTTAGCATAATTCCTTCCATGACCTAGGCTTTACTTTTCTGTCTGTTCGCACACACAGGGAGTAGCCAATTTTATGTGTTCATATATTTCTGTTTATCTGGATGGCTGCTGTCTTGCTTCTGTAGATGTATGTACATTCAGGATTCAGGTGCATGTGAATGTGGTGGATGGATATTTATGTGTCATTTTAATGTATATACATCTTGCAAAAGATTATATAAACACAAAGCATATATTGAAAGTTTACAGGAACATATACATACAAATACAAAGTTATATTTTCAGAGAGAGATTTCAAGTTCTCCAATGATTTTACCTTCTTCTAGATATATAAAGTGATACAATCGACTGCTAAGTTCACATCACCAGCTTTTTCCTGTGGTTTCACACTTGATCAACGGAATTTTTGATACCCTAAATTTAAGTGACTGTAATATATATATGCTTACACCTTTCTGGTTTATATATTTATAGGTTCTTGAGGATGGTGTTCTTAACCCAGAAACCACGGTCGTCGCTATCTTCCCCTCTCCCATGCACTATGCTGGCCCAACCGAAGTTCAGTGGCATGCAAAATCTCGCATAAACGCTGGTGCAAATTTTTACATTGTGGGCAGAGACCCGGCAGGTATGAGTCACCCGATAGAGAAAAGGGACCTTTATGATGCTGACCATGGGAAGAAGGTACTCGGTATGGCTCCAGGTCTTGAAAGGCTTAACATCCTTCCATTCAAGGTATTTCAAGCCTCTACAAAATATCAGCTTCAATAGACATTGCTTAAAATGGTCATATCGCCTATATTTATCGAGAATAAGCTTCTATTTCTTGATTAAGATGAACATCTTTACTACCTACAATTATATTTAAGTACATCAGGCAAGCAAATTGTAATAAATATGCATTACTTGCTGACACCAATTGAATGCAGAGGTTAAGGTCAGAATAATGAAAAAAATGATGAAATGCAGCAGTAACTTATTAGTTTGTCTGTTGTATGTTTCACATCAATGTCATTATTTTATCTTATCACAAACTGTTTTTGTTGCCAACATTTATAAGGTTATGTATGTACTACAAAGTAGGTGTCAATACGGCTTATTTTTGTTTGTTTCATCATTGGAAATTGAGGAAAATGATGGATCATTAGGTGATTTTACATAGGCTTTCAGCATTGATGCAATCATTTGATGATCTTGTAAGGTTTTATTACCATCTTTACCTTTTGGGAACACATGTTTTATGGATAATCGACGCAACATAGAAGATTTATCTACTAAATATGTCAGGGCTTGATGTGGCTTACAAGTAATTGTTTTTTAATGAGTTTAGGTAGCTGCCTATGACAAAAAGCAGCAGAAAATGGCCTTCTTTGATCCATCCAGACCTCAGGATTTCCTCTTCATCTCTGGTACAAAGGTAACCCCACTCTGCGTCTGAACGTTCTAATCAATGCCATAGAGAATGCTCCTGAAGTGTTGCTGATTCCTTGAATTCTCCATTGTAGATGCGGACTCTCGCAAAGAACAGAGAGGATCCCCCGGATGGCTTTATGTGCCCTGGTGGATGGAAAGTATTAGTGGACTACTATGACAGTGTGACCCCACAGGAGACCAACAGGTCTCGTGAAGCTGTTCCCGCTTGAATCCTTGAAGATTTTGCTCGTCAGGCAACTCTTCGATTCCTTTGATGAAAGAAGACGGAATGAAGCCCTGACCTACTTGATGTGTACACTACGGCTTGTCGTAGAACTATGTGAGAAAGAAGACGGACTGAAGCCGTGAACTACTTGATGTGTACGGCACGGCTTGTCGTAGAACTATGTCAGATCTTATTGTATTAGATGAATTCAGATGCACGAGGAAATGAGAGCAGAGGATATGCAACCATCTTCTCTTTATTGTTCTGTTCCTCAATTTTCACTCTTACATCTGCACTCCGGTAGACGGCCTTGGCTACAACGCTAGAGGCATTCAAACAAACATCAGGCGAGCAAAGTTTCTTTGTCATGGGTTTTCAGAAGACGAGCTTGCGGCGGTGAAGGGGGAGGGGCTCCCGGGCGCCAAGGTCACGGATGGTCTCGGCGACGAGATCCTTAAAGATCAGCCGCTCAATCTCGAGGACCACGTCGGACATCTCGGCGGCGGGCCGGACCCACCCGTCGGGGCGCGCCGCTGCGATGTCGTTCCTCACGGCCCCGCACGCAGCTCCCTCGTGATCGTCCGCCGCCGCCGCCTGCTCCCGGAGTCGCTGGAACTCCGCCCAAACCCGTGGCAGCGCCTTCTCCCCCTCCTCCCCATCTCCCCGCGCGAAGACGTCCCACAGCGACACGTGGTGCTTGCGATCCAGGATCTCGGCCACGGCGTCGAAGACGAGGCGGCGATGGAGACGGGCTGTCTTGGACGGGTAGCGGGCCGGGCCTCCTCGTTGGCGGCAGCGGCCGTTCTCCACGGCCGCGTACGCCGTGTCGGAGGCGTCCCCGTAGCGTTCGGACGCGCGGAGGACGTCGCACACGTAGGCGTAGTCCGGGTCCATTGCCACGGGCGCACCAATCTCGCCCAGTTCATACGTTGACCACGGCTCCTCTTTCTAGTCGTCCGCCAGTTGATCTGCGGACTAGATTGCATCAGTGTTCGAAGAATATAAGGAAATGGACGGTGATTAAACGTCAAGCGGGAGGCCGCAGGCGATCAAAAAATAACCGTTGTCGCTCTACGCCGCCACGGTCGCGACAACTGGCAAGGGAGAAAGGGCGTTTACCTTTGAAGTCGATGGAGCGCTTGGCGAGGGGCCAGGGCGAACCCTCCTCGCCGAGGTAGGACGACGAGTCGACCACCGAGACGGGGCTCGGCTGCTGGTCCGCCGCGGTGTCCTGCTCCGCCTCCGTAAACGCCGCAATGCCTTGTAACAGCTTGTCGCACCGTTCCAACAAACTTCGCCCCGATCTCTACATCACAGCATCCCTCGATTCAAACTAACGCAATGGGTTTATGAGTATAGACTGGTGTTGGCATTAGTTGGCGGGATTTACTACCTCGAAGTCCAATCGAGAGGAGGCATTGATGCTACTCTCGGAGACGGTGGTGGAGGCATCGTCCTCCGCCGGCGGGTGAACCCTCTCCATGGGAGATGCGTTCGCCGTTGGCCTTCGTCTCCTCGGCGATCGGACGGGCAGCAGATCTGGCCCCGCCCTTTTCGGATTGGATTTTGGGGAGCTGACGTTCGGCATTCCCCGCTGGGACAGCGGGCTCCGGGCTGCCGCATTTGATGCTCTCCGGTGCACCGGCGAGATCGGGCTCTCCGGCGATCTCGGAGCTCGATTACTCCGCTCGTTTCCTCCCCTGATGCTATGATCGACCGATGCCACCTGCTCGCAGCGGACTGGCGGAGCACTCCGACGAGCGACGCCGGATCTGGGCCGCTGCTGCTCGCTTGATGGCCGCCGTAGAGGCTTGGAGGTCGGCTTCATGATGACGATCTTGGCCCTGGTTATCGTAGATACGAATGCGGCGGCCGGTGGCGCCGTGATCCGAGGGCTTGGAATGGAGGAGGCCCTTCAGCTGGAGCGCCTCTAGGATTTGCTTCAGCGTCTCCAAATCTTTCCCTGGTTCGTCGATTCCCCGCATACTCAGCCGGTTCCCGATGTCGCCGTAGTGCATCCCTAATCCTCGCCCCGTGCTTGGCCTCGAAGACTGGGAGAGGCAGCGGAAGCGACCGCCGCGGCGGCGACTCCGCCTCGTCCCGGATCTCCGGCGACGACGGTTGCGGGTGGCTCTCCTTCAATAAAGACGCTGACGAAGCCTCCGACCTCTCGGACGGGGACGTCGATCCGGTAGTCTGAAACATGCCATCCAACCTTTAGAAAAGCAGCAACGAAACGCACGAAAAATGGCATCTTTTATCCTTCAAATTCTCACGGAGCAGGTCGCATGGCGGCGCCAGGCGAGAACGTTGTGGCGGTCGAACAGCTGGAGGAACCCGGCAATGCACCCCACATGCCGCTCAAGGCGCTGCTCCTCGGTGGCTCCGTAGCCGACACCGGGCGTCATCTCCGTCCGGCGACACTACACCGATCTTCTTAAGTCAGATCTCGCCCTCTTCTTAATCCTAACTCTGCTGTCTCCTTTTCACGCACACAAAGCAGCGAGACGGCTTGTGTTCGATCATCAGACCTCACGCCGAAGAGCCTTAAAGGGTAGGTAAACCGGCTAAATGACGATATTACCCCGATAATCACAATCTGCTCGTTAACAGTCATAACTATTACGTCAATAATAATAATAATAATAATAATAATAATAATAATAATAATAATAATAATAATAATAATAATAATAATAGATACTTATCGATTCATCGCATTGGAAGGTTTTTTAACCGTTGGAAAAGAGGCATTCGAGACCAAAATTGAAGGTGTTAGATATTAGGGTTGTCCATTTTAGCCCCTTAGCTGTTGTAGTTTGATCATAGCATTTTTTTACTTTTATGGTTTATTTATATTTAAAATAATTTTTATATTTAGAAAAACGTTGCATATAAATTCATTCAGTCAAGTTCGAATTAATAGATGATATAATTTACTTACATGACATGTTGATTCATAATAAATTATTAATATAATGACTCGTATATTTTAAGTCATGTGGTTTTGGTTGATTTATTCGTGTATAAAATAATTTTTATATTTTTAAAAATATAGCATATAAGCTCATCTCGTTAAGTCTTAGTTAACAAACGTTAAAGTATACTTATATGACATATGCTAACGCATAATATATTGTGAGTTACTCATCAAATGTCACTTGCCAACTTTAGGGCACATGCCACCATGTTGCCCATCATGGTATTGCCCACTATTATGAATGACATTTTGTTAGGACCGAAATCGACACTAAGAGGGGAGGGTGAATTAGTATTTTCGTAAAAGCATCGGTTTGAAAATCCCATTCGATAAAAATTATATCAAAAAGCATTTAAACTTAGAGAGCACATTCCTAAAAATCTCGTTCGATAAAAATCATATCAGAAAGCGTTTAAACTTAGAGAGCACATTCGTAAGCTTAGTGAGAGTAGTAAGCAAGTAAATCACCAGATGAACCAATGATATGTTAGACAATGTGTGATTAATACTTTGTAATAATTGTCTAGATCGAAGTAGTTTTAGTTCTAATTGGGTTGGTTTAGAATGTAATTAGGCCAACTCAATTAAGAGGCAACTAGACCCGAATTGGGGTTATTTTAGGTCAAGTGAAAGGCTCATTCAGTAATCCAAAAGTTTGGTCAAGTGGTGGCACCGTCAGTCCGGGTGGTAGAACCGCTAGCAACTTAGTCTCCAAGACACAATCTCCAAGATTGTGTTAGGCGGTGGTATCGCCCAATGTCAAATAGTACTAGTGGTGGTACTGCTAGTACCCCAAAATCTTAGGGATTTGAATTTTGACTTCACTTTTTGAAGCCACTTGGGGCCTATAAATATTCCACTCATCTCTGCTAAGTAAACATAGGAATTAAGAACATAAATTGAGGAAAACGCTATTGTAATCTTGAGAGTTCCCCTCCTCTAGCTCTAAGTGTTGATTTTAGTTTAAGAGGGGGGTAAATGATTGTACCTGTGAAAAGGAGAAAAAGGTTGTAAGAGGGTAGTTGGTCTTCGCCCATTGAAGGAAGACTATTAGTGGATATCGGTGGCCTCGACAGAGGAGAAATCGGGAGTGGACATAGGTTACGACGACTGAACCATTATGAAAGTTGGTTTGCATTTTTGTTTTGCTTTTCATTGTCATTGATATTACTTTAATTACTTATTGTGTTATGATCAATATGACACTAAGAGGGAGGGGGGGGGGGTGAATTAGTACAATGATAAAAATAATAGTTTGAAAATCTTACATTTAATAAAAACCAATATCGGAAGGTGTTTAACTTGAAAGCATTCATAAGCATGGTGAATGCATTCGTAAGCAAGTAAATCCATTTGGAATATGAAGATGAAAAGTTTAAAGTAAATGCAAACCAGATTTATAGTGGTTCGGTCATCGTGACCTATATCCATTCCCGATTCCTCTTCACTTGAGGCTACCGGCTTCCACTACCGGTCTTCCTTCAATGAGCGAAGACCAATTACCCTCTTACAACTCTTTCTCCTTTTTACAAGTTTAGGAGACAACATTTACAAGCCTCACACCTCTCTTGAATGATCTCAAAACTAGAAAGGGAGGAGGAGGACACTTAGCAATTTTACAACCTAGAATAACAACCCCTTTCTGCTTTAATTCTTTCTTTTCATGTAGGAATAGCTAGGGTATTTATAGACCATAAATGACTTTAAAATTGGAGCAAAAAAAAGTCTTATCTCGGATTTCCTAGGTCCTGACGGTACCGTTGGGTGGTACTACCACCTGCAGCACTGACATTGGGTGTTATCACCGCTCAGTCTAGTGGTACCATCACTTGACATAGTCTGGGAGACTGTGTCTAGGCAGTACCACTGCCTAGACTGGTGATACCACTGCCCAGACTAGCGATACCACCGCTTGACACTAGACGATACCACCGCCCAGTCTAGCGGTACTACCGCATGATAGCATGGAAAAGTATGCTCTTGACTTTTCTAGCTCATGAGTATTTCCACCTAACCTTGGGTGACCGAATGAGCCTTCCACTTGGCCCAAAATAGTCCCAACTCAGGCCCAATGGGCTCCTAATTGAGTTGGAATGGTTACACCTATAATCAACTCAATTATGACCTAAAATAACTCAGTCTAGACAAATTATTACAAAGAACCAATCATATATTGTCTGGCATGTTATTGATTCTTCCGATGCTTTGTCCGATCCTTCGGCGCATCATCCTCATCTTTGACGTATTGTCCAATCGGCATGTTGACACTCGTAACTTTC